AAGTTAGTTCATGGATGACGTACTTCACCAATTACACACCGGACGTAAGCATAATAGAAAGCTTCTGGCATTTGTTTTCGTTTCCCAGTCTTCTAATGTTAATTTTGTTGCCATAGTCTCAATCCTTTAGGGACTTCGTTAGTGCTAGGACACTAGGAAGCGGGGTTTGGTGTTTTCTAAGTAACAGTTTGGTGGCTTATTTGATTTCGTAGTTCTTTATCTCAGTTCAACAGACTTTATTCTCTTTCAAAAAGGAGCTCATTGTCTATTGTTGTTGCGATTCCTTTTCTCAGGTCACGTTGGTACCCTAGGTCGGCATTGAGCAGTTGCTTCTCATTCTGAGATAATCTGGATGGCAGTTGTTTCTCCTCATTGGATAACCTATAAGTGCGGTTGATACTACCCACTTTGTGTAGGAGTTTTTTGAGATGCCAAAAACCGGGTATGGTTCTATCATCCTCATGAAATAACTGCCTGGCACTTTGTGGAGGATATTCCCCGAGAATAGTTCGCTCTGTGCGAGTTCGAATAATTATTGTTCGACTAATTCTGCATCATCGATACTTGACCACGTTAAGCTCAACCCTGCTCCCAGAATTCAGCAACTTCGACTTGCAATATTCATTCATTCAGTCCTTGTTTCAAACTGGGCCTCATTTAAATTTAAACTAATTTGATCGTCGATTGATTAGGTACCTAGTAAATCAAGCATTTATTTATATACAGATAATACTGCAGTTTCAACATCATCTAAAATTATTCATGTGATTTGGAAAATTTCATTTGAGAAATTAATACTTCTGCCGAACCAAATTTGACAACAAAATATTAATTTATTTTTGTTCTATGTAAATATCGCTACACCACAAAACCTCATCATATTTAATTGCTTTTTGTTAGCTTTAATTTACCAGGAAGGAGCAACAGTTTAAGAAATAAATGCCGACTAGTCATTTGGGTCGGTAAGCGTTCATTGGAAGGAGTCTGGAACAACTTGTAGAATCTTACATAAAAAGGGAGAGGGGCTGGCGGATCTCCAGTTTCCTTCTTGGACATAATTGTAGGAATAGACTTGTCAACAGGTCTTTATCTGCTCGCTCTGAGGCAATAAACACAACTCTATACTGATTCTTTTTCGAACGATTTGTTTTCGACTCGACCACACTTCACATGACGCCCTCGGGTACTTCAGGACGGGAAGGAGGGATCGAAATGTCGTTCATAACATCAAACCAAAATGAACCGGCATGTGTTTGTACCGGCTGGGATGTCGGTTTATTTGTGTGTTTATTACTTTGTTAGTTGAGGGTTGATTTGGGTTTATAAATTAACGCATATACGCATGTGATCCAAAGGCACCAACGTCACTATGCTTTTTCAGCCCCAAACGATGGATAGAGAATATTTATTTTTTAGTGAAAGAACATATATTTACAATATTGGAAAATTATATTTTCTTTGATGTATAAACAGTTCAATTTGGGAGGGTCCTCCAAAGTAACGAAAACACACACACATCCTTAGAAGTTTACTGAGGGATACCTCTTCCGCTAGTAGAGGAACGAAAATTAAAATGGAGGACATGTGGTATAATCTCCTGACGGAATTGACATCTGTTCATGAGGCACCTAGTACAAAATATTTTTTTTTACTTCATTTAATTTTATCTACAACTGTTTATTGTATACAACCAGCAGATTGGATTTCAATTTAGGATTGTGGCATTACGGGCGATATAGAGAAAGCTACCCATTGATAGCCTCTCTGGATTATTTCAGCTTACGTGGTCATTTTGTGGAATGGAGTTATCGTATTTGTATGTTAGTGTGTAGTTAATCTCAAAATTTTGGATTCAAAACTGTAATCTTTGAATATTGGACTATTTAGCCGATCCAAACTCGGCACCCGTACATCCAAATAGGTTTGAGTAAGTATGTGTATGTCGTTTTGATTTTAATGGTAATTTTGATTGTCGGTTGAGTAGATAATAATTCATTTTAAATCGTTTGTTGAGTGTCCGTTTTTTAATGGTTTGTGTGTGTGTGTGTGTCCGTTTTTTAATTGTGTGTGTGTGTGTGTCCGTTTTTTAATTGTGTGTGTGTGTGTGTGTGTGTGTGTGTGTGTGTGTGTGTGTGTGTGTGCGTGCGTGCGTACGTGGGGGCGTGGGGGCGTGCGAGCGTGCGTGTGTGTGTGTGTGTGTGTGTGTGTGTGTGTGTGTGTGTGTGTGTGTGTGTGTGTGTGTGTGTGTGTGTGTGTGGATTCCAAGTTATATCAAATGAAAGTCCTAAATAGTTAACTTTGTCGGATTGAGGGTCACGTTCATTGTAAGTTTATGTTAGGGTATTTCTCAAGGCGATGCGTAAAAGTGATATGTTATGACTTTGAGGGGGTTAAACTTTATTTTCCAAAGATTGCTCCAAATTTCAATTGGTGATATGTGGTTTTGTAGCATACAACACATACATAACAGTTTGTATAAAAGAGTAATGACTTGTTAATATGGCGGTGTCAGTATGTGGCGGTAAGTGCATTCTCATTTGTGGGCATATCAGAAGTAAAAATTGTGTACAACATCGGAGCGAATATTGACCCTTGTGTCACACCTGCAAGGACTTCTTCCATCTCAGAAGTCTCCGTACCATGGCTTACTGCGAAAATGCTAATGACCTTAAGGTATGATTGTATAATCAGATAATAGGCCTGGGATAAAAATAATTTTAATTTGTATAATAGTCCTTAATGCTATACTTCGTCGAACGCCTAAGAAACATCTAGAAATACTCCAGACGCCTACAGTTTCTGCTCGAGACATGAAAAATGAAATAAGTAACTCTGCGAAGTTGATGAGTAGTGGAATGATGGGTTCGACAGCCAAGCTGATGGTCTGGAAAAATATCGTTTAATGTAGCAATAGAGATAATTACTTTGTAAATTAATGTTTACAATAATTTACAAGTAACAAGATAACAGGCTATTATGACGGCAAGATGATGGTGAGCTCAAAATGTTATGTGGCTTTGGGATCATTTTAACGTAAGAAAATTTCCATTGCATGGGAAAGTGTAGTTCTCCAAATTGCTTTAAATAAAGAAGTCAGAACGAGAACGGCTTTTTTGGGAAATTCTTGACGAACTTCAGCTGTTATCAAATCAAGACCACGTGATTTTTTTTTTAGGAAGATGTCTTATTTTTCGTATTTGTTGTTTTGGAGTCATTGGTTTAGGTAGCAGATCTAGAGGTATATGTGTCATAAGTGAATCTTAGATAAATTTATCCTGTTAAGACATCGCTAAAATGCAGTATACGTTTAATACTACGCTAGACTAGCGTACTACTATAGCTTTAATACTACCCCCATCCTCTTTTGACAATATTTTAAAATATGTTTCGTACGATTGTAGTTAAAACAGTTTTATTTCTTTTTTTGAACGTATTCAAAAGTTTGTAAACATTTATTGTACATAATATACAGAATTATTAATATGAACATATGTTTTTTTAATAAAGCACTTTGCATTTTCATTTTTTTTAAGTGTTTTCTGTTTTTCCTTTTTAGTACAGTTTTCTTTTCAAGTTATTCAAAGTCAACATAAAAAAGAAAACAAGAAAATCTACGGAGTGGGATGAACAGACTGAGCTTTCGACAGGATGACCTTCCACTTCAATTCCTGTGTTGTTCCAGATGAAGTCCCTGTAGAGGGCTAGGTCCTCAAACACCATAGTGCCCAATTTTGCCCCGCAATACATGTCAAAATCGATACCTCTTGACAATATACCTTTAAGTTTGCGGTCGCAAAATAGCGGTGCACCTTGATCGCCTAAACACGGCGAAGCGTCTGCAGAACTGTATGCACAAAGTACGACCCCCATCCCTTTGCACGCTGGTTTTCCAGTTCTCACATTTATGCTTGCTTTGGTCAGAATCATTGTGCTCATTTCGTTATTGGATTTTCCAAGTGAAATTACAAAACAACGCGACATCTGATCAATCCCTCCGCCTATATTGTTGTAAATTTTAGATAATGTTTCTGGAATTACACCTAAAGCCAAGTCAAATCCTTGTTGGCTTGTTTGGAATTGAGGATGTATCATTAGCTTGATTGTTCTGGTTCTTGCTTGAAGGACAGGAGTTAATTGATAGAAAATCCAAACATTCCATGGTTGCAATTGAGAACCATTCGAACTTGTAGCACATCGAGTCGAGCTTAACACTACATTGCTACTGATCATCACTCCAGTGCAATTTGTGTAAAATTGTTTATCATTTATTGAATGAGAAGAAAGGACAAGAACTACATATGAAAACTTTATAACATCCATCTCTCGGATTGCACCGAACATCTTCAAGTACGATCTACAAGCAATTACTTTTGCGTTGTATTCCCTTTTTTATTTGATTAAATGGATTTTCGATCACGTGTAACATTCGATCTTTTATGATGTTTAGAATCCAGAATATTTTATGCTGTACTGAGGAGGTTTTGACTTCATACAGAGATGCGTGATTAACCTAATCATGCTATTTCATAGACACTGTATGGAAAAACGTACAACCAAATGTTTCAACTGTAAAATAAAGAAATAGCATCATAAAATTGTCCACATCCTCCTGAATATTTAAGAACATATGTTAGTCAATTTCAGATTGCCAACAACGATCCAATTTGAACTTTTTATTGGAATTGTCTTTGTCTTACATTATATTGAATGTTCTGACAATTCATTATATGAATTTTAAATGTTATATTATGCGTTTGAGTTATTTGACGGTAGAGGACAACGAAAAATTCCATCTACAAGCGACGTAAAGTTGTCTTCGTACTAGCCCATCATTGATATATTTATTTATGTATAAATATCATGTATACCAATTAATCTATGGTAATAACTCTAAGTTTGGAATAATTTCATTGGTAGAATCACATCAATTATTCGCAATAATTCATAATTGTACGAAAAACTCACCACGATTTTTTTTAAATATCTTTACAGCTAGACCCGCGAGTGAAGACAGACCCAGTAGTGCCCGTGTGCCCCGGTTCAACATAATATACATTTCTGGTTAGAAAAAGATTTTTGTTTTATTTTTGCAAAAGAAGGTTAGTAAGAAAGACATTGAAAAACACAAGCTCTACCACATAAAATAACATGAAAAAATATAAAAATTTCAAATTTTTTGAAAGAACAAGAAGGAAAAACCGAAGGAAGCAAAATGAAAGCTCTCGCGATATTTGTTGATGTTGATTATACAGACACAATGACAAGTTTTTCTCGCTCTTCATTCCTGGAGAACTACGTAAGTTATTGTGAGATATTTCTGGATAAGTGCAGGACCGTAAACCTGAATTTAGGCCCTTTTCGGTTTCTAATAATAAGGGTATAGCAGTTTTCCCTTAACCGAAAAGTTTTTTCCCCTTAAAACAATAAAAGTCTGCATATCAAGTCCCTAGAGATTGTAATTGCTGGCATATGTTGATTAATATAAACACACATGTTTTTCTCGCTCTTCTTTCTTTAAAAACTCCCTAATTTACTGTGAACTATTTTTGGAAGGATTGCTGGGCGATAAACCTGATTTTAGCTCTTCTCGGTCATCCTGCTCTGCCTGAACCATCAAACTATATGCCAGTTGTACTGGATTATCTCCTGGGATCCAGTTTTTAACGGAATTTCAACACGTCCCTGTAATGTAGCCTACACTCAGCTCATAGACGTTTTTGCCATGTGTCAGTATTTTTGAATAAATCCAAGAATTTGTGTTTGCAAGCTTCACATTGCCAAAATAATGAATTCAACTATTATAAATTATTATACGTTGAGTTCTAATGATACTCGTTCGCTGCGAATGATGAGTAACAAACAACTTGTAATTTGATCATTACCGGTCATTTTGATCTTCCTATTCCTATTGGGGTTATCTGTCGTTTCGGCATTTTACCATCTTCAGTGCAAAAACCACGTCTGAAAGCAAGGATAGGCAGAAAGACGGTTGATAATGATCAAATTACGTCACCATTAAAGCAGCGTTAAAAATAAGATTTAATGAATGCAATGCATTGTTATGTTAACACCAGGTGTAGCCTGTATGTAAATAAATGTCGAACTTATCGGCACTTAATCAGTTTAGTGAGTCTTTCATTCTCGCAGTTTCAGCCAGGAAAATTGATCCAGTGTCGATGAGTTCAACTTGTTTCTCCAACAAGAAGATCACGACCAAGTATGTGTCCGAATCTCCACTCACAATTTTTTTCCAGTAAAAGAATAAATACAAGTAAATAGGAATATTGCTAAGACACATAAATCAAGAAAACAATGTAGATCACATTCGTGGTGTACGTTGAATGATTGATTTAACTCAAACGTCTTATGTACGGATTGTTAGTTATAACATAATCATAATTATCAATGAATCTTTACGATATTATTGAAGAAAACAAAGCACAGGCATAGTGGAATGAGTATGTGGTGGTAAGATGCTGATTTATAATGGGATTCGACGAAAACACCCGTGATTTCATTTAACCACAGCCTGTAGTTGGCAAGGATTTGATATCGGGTGAGGGACTTTCTAAAGATGCCGCACATCTCACGGGAAACGTATCCGTCAGACAAGATGCCCTTTACCGAACCTTCGCAGATGAGAGGAGCGCCTGAGTCACCGTTGCAGGGCATCTCCTTGTTTTTGAATGTGATGCATATCAGGGATTCGTTTACCTCGTTGCAAGTCTTCCTGTTTTCCGGGGCGACTTTCATCCTCTGCAAGTACAAGGGAAGCCGAAAACCGCGGTCGTAACTACCGTAGCCGAAGATTTCGCACGGCTTGTCGTGTTCGAGGTGACCGCCCAGATTTTTGTACACTGATGGAAAAACTCCGGAGGTCTTGGCCAGGCCGATGTTGCAATGCACACTTCCCAGACGGTAGGCGGGGTGTGGGATAAGGTTCGTGGCCCTCCAACCGTCGAATCCCGTTTTATCCTTCCAGAACATCATTACCGACCCGGGATCGACAATTTCCCTTACGTCATTGAAGAAACACTGAGCTGTCGTCATTGCAGTGTTCTCCTGTATCGCGACGCCGCTGCACGTCCTGTTCAATTCATCGCTGACAAGAGTGACTACGAACAGAATAAAGCGGTACTCTGTATAATTTTCAACGACGTGGGACCCATACATAGCTTTATTTCAATCTATACAATCTATAACTCAAACGTAAGACTTCATAACGTATTAAACATTAACACATGTTTTATGTGGATTTCTAAAATAGTGAAGTTATTCCAAAAATTTAATGGAAAAACCTCCAAAAAATCTATGATGTAAATATAATTTATTTGAATTTTTTTTAATGTTTATTTTTGTAATAAAGGCAAGCAACGACTAAGAGTCATAATCTGCTTTGAATACAGATAAGTTTAGGGTGGCGATGAACAAAAACCGCCGGGCAGCAAGAGGGCCAACATGTCCACGCCAGGCCCGCCATACCCTCCTTCGGCCTCAGCCATCTTGAAGAAATGTACAAGTTGTTCTGTCTCATCATCTTACAAACTACCCGAATCAACACATGCGCTCGTTTCCGGCTCAAATAGAGCACAAACTCGTAATAATATGTTTGGTGTTATAGGTTCCTCACAACCTTGGTTCGGTGGAGATTCTCTCACCTTGAGTCTGGCATGACCTATCCTGAGGCGAGGTAGGACCGTTACTTGAGATTTATAGAACACATATCCAACATAGAATACATTTCCACCCCGCCGACGCTACCACTATCTTTTGTGTTTTTTCTTTTCACTGCGGCAACAGAATGTCGGATTCGCAGTGGTTAGGAAGCCTTAGCCTTCTCTTTACCCACCAGACCTATATGTCCGGGAAAGTCAAAATCAATAAAGGCATTTAACTAACTGTCTAAATTAAAATACCGATGTGTCCAGGTTGTCAGCAACGGGTACAAACGCACATATTCTTACTGTCTCTACTCGATTTAAGCCGGAAAGGAGCGATGTGCTGTTTCGGCTAATTTGGGACAAATTTGGCCAGATGATGGACACAGAGTAGAAAAACTTTTCTATTTGTTGAGGATGCCCGCTCTGCTTTCTAAAATTTAGAAGACGAGCCAAGAATAGGGGCAGTGGCACAGGCTGTCTGTTTTGTTCATCGCCACCCTAAACATATTTCTGTCCAAGGCAGGTTATGACCCTTGGTGGTTGCTTGCCTTTATTAATAATAATAAAATAAATAAGACGTAGATAATATATTGACAGCAGTTCCCACAGATCAAATTCAAACTAGATTAGATATTAATAGCTTTCACCCACGCCTACAATTTACACATGAAATCGAAAATAACAAAACAATACCATTTTTAGATACACTCGTAAGAAAACAACCAGATGGCACATTAATAACAGATTGGTATCAAAAACCAAGAAACACAGATCGCTACCTCAACTTTACATCTCACCAACTTCTTCATACAATAATAAACAGGGCCAAAGAGTTACTTCACAGAATTATTATAATATCATTAATCAAATTCAATATCGATACATACATATATCATCACATAATATAACATATAAAACATTCATCACATTCCACACTTCATTTTTACATACTCTAATTGTTCAACAATTTAGCTTTCCTTTTGCTATTTATCCCCGTCTATATAATCTTGAAAGGATAATCTGGCCGAACAATTACCAACTTTTTTTCCCATCGTCAGCTCTTTTCCCACAAAGAAGCCGACTCCTTATACAGAAATGTCTTTCTATACCGACTTCCTTCCCCACCCCTTCAAAATCCAAGGTATATAAACATAAAACAGCAATATCTCACTGGCACTCTCAACACGACACGCAAGAATGGCACAATTATGCAGAAAACAAACAAATATTTTTTTGCATTGTATAAATTCACATTTTTCCACATCCTACATGTATATGTTAAATTTAAACAATGTTTGTAAATCCCAGGCCCTGAAGATGATCTCAATAAAGATCGAAACGTTGGAACGATAAAAAAAAATGTTTTTCTGAAACCTAAATCTCTCACCAGACCGCATCTCACGATTTCCGAATTATCTTCGACTAACGGTCACTAATCACTACACAAAATAAATAAGATAAATAAAATACCAATCCGCAATAGAAAAATGTCAATAGCTAGGTACGAATTTCATTAAGATCAGGTGTCTTTTTGAATGGAAAATCTTATTTTTTACAATAAATTATGCAATAAATAGCAAAGCTGATTAAATTAAAAACAAAAACAAAGTTGTATTGTAGGCACGTAGTCGCCATGTGTTCTATTAAATCGAACTTACAAACATATTCGGAAAAAATTAAATTCTGTTTCATAAAAAATATCGTTTTTAATTTACATCGAGAACAATTCATCCGATAAAAATGCAGTCTAAATTCAAGTTTAAAACCCGATTGGTCCGCAAGAGTTTCGAAGAGATGAACATCAAAACAGTGACTATACAAACGATATAAATACAAACAAAATAAGAGCAATAAGATAAGACAGCCGACGAGCGGACTAAAAGGAAAAAGCAACATTCTTAACTCACGAACTGATTTACATCGAGCTATACTTGCAAGAGGAATTAATTTTGGCAACTTAGAGAAAAGACGGTGTCAAGAGATTTTAGGCTCTAGCCGTCTACGGGGACTTCATGAGAACCAAATGTGGCATTGAATTCTTTCTCAACTTGGCTTAATATGAAAAAACAGCGACTTTGGACTTCAAACAAAAATTTTAAAAATTCTAAATAACCAGACGTGACCATCTAACAATAATGTAAAACCAAAATTAAAGGCGAACTTCTCTAAGAATCAACAACAGACGATTTTTCTTTTTGGAAAGAGCGTAACATTGATCCATTTTCAGGTATTTTCTTGCTAATAATTGAAGTTGTAAGGTTTTAATTTTTCTTTTAATTTTTCAGTGGCTTTCTTTATGGTTACCAGGGTTTTGTGGGATGACTGATTCGTATAATGAAGTCGTTAATGCTTAGTTAATTGCTACAACTTCAAAGCGAGTTTTGTTTCATATGAAGTCCCTGTAGACGGCTAGGTCCTGAAAAATCATGCCATCGTCTTTTTGATAAAAGAATTGTTGAAATTGATACCTTTAAACATGGTACGCAACCCTCGCATGGAAATATTTTACCTGTGCTTAAAATTTCAAGTGGAATTAGAATTTCGTTCCGGCTCCTAAGAGTTATACAAAATGAAATTGTAAAAAGTAAAATAATAAATTATGTAAGTCATTTTTATGGGTTATAAATAAACTAATTTTAGGCACGATAAAATTAAAAAATGATATATAAAAAAGCGAAGTTTCTTTTTTTTAACTTCATTTATTTCTTCAGTTGTAGAACGTATAACGTAGATGGAACTAAAAGTCAAAATTTTCCTTATTACTTATCTCAACCAAAACCTTAATCAAAGGTTATTAGTTATTGTTTATTAATTGAAAAAACTTTCCTTGTTGCTGTTTGCTTGGTAAACTCGAAAAATTCGTAAGAGAGAGGATCAAAATGGCATTGATAAAAGTAAATCATAAGTTCACAAACCATTATTGCAATAGGATTTTTTCTTGTAAAATCCGAGGAAAAATTCACGACCTATCCTCCCGCAGTTAGCAGGGACTAGACCCACTTAAACTGCAATGGAAAAGTTCACGCCACCCTCACGAGCGCCCAGAGTAACCAGAAATCCACCCCAAGCTTATTCAAGAGTTGTATTCATTGGATGAAAACGATGGTTCTAAATTAGAATTGGTACGTTCTTTCCACCTTAATCATTTCTATCTGCGGATGGATGTTAACAATTTGCTTGGCCCTTTATTTTTGGTGTGTTTTGTTGGATACTCACACCTTTTTGTGTTTTTTTATTTCTTAATATGGTTTCCACAAATACAAGAGTTACAAGAATTTATAGTTAAAATTAACTAAAGTTATCAACACACGTGACTTAATCTGTTGTTAAAAATGCAGTTTTGAAAACCGACATTGCTGTTTTAACCCAAAAAACATAATCGATTGGCACAATATATGCGTTTCTTTTCACATTTTCAAAATACACTATTCTACGACTTAAAGACCAGGAAGGTACCATAAAATATGTACTAGGTTGTTTACAAGAGCACTGCTGGATATCGCAGTGATCTGACTAAAAAGAAAAAAGACACGACACCAAGAGAAGTTTAATGTTATTCTTGATAAACCTCGCGCCGAATCATAATTTGTCTGGCCCTGAATTTTTATAACCAGCTTGTTTGCCACAAGAGCTTTTTAGACATCAATTTTAAAACGTTTTGCATTCAACAATATAATCCATGCTGTAAGTTTTAGCGTCTAGTCGTCTTAAGGGACTCGGTAAGAAACAAAAGTGGTTTTGAGGATACCTGCTAGTTAACAATCGTGATCCAGTGGTTTTCATCATTGTTTTCTCTTCCTTGAAGGTTTAGGAAAAAATTAAAAAATATGTCAATCGCATTTTAAAAATTTGATATCTGCACCAACATTCTGAATCTCCAGATTACTTCAAAGACCACGATAGGAAGATTCTTGTAAATTGCTGTCTTATTTTAGACAATGTTGACACTTCTATGTTCAACCTGCTGGATTTCTTGGCAATATGTGACTAGTGAAAAATCAATATAAAATCGATTTTTCTTTTGGAATGAAAGTGTCCTAGATTTCAGCCATTTCCTTTTATCTATTAACACCGCGTTGAAGAGTTAAATATTTTTCCAGAAGTTGTGCTGTTATGGTTTTTGCGGTACAGATAAAAGGAAGGATGGAAAATATTTTCGTGGGTTGCCCACCCACTTCGAATCAAGTGTTCTTTCGTTAAGGCCTTCAATTTCGAAGCCAGTTTTGTTTCAACGGCTTAAGCCCTTGAAATCCATGGCGCCGTCTTTTTCCGTACGAAGTATAAATTGAAACATCTGTCGCATAGCAACCTTAATTTACCTGTATTTAAGTCACGTGTTAAGCATACAGGAAATCAATTTAAAAGAAAAATTAACTTTTCGAACCTACTGAACATTTATAAGTAATTCCTGTCACACATGACGGCTTACTGACCATTTACCCATTGAGTGTTGGGTCAAAACAAATTACAATACATTTTTCATACTATTATCAATTAAAAATCCATGGGCTTTGTCGGGATTCGAGCCCAGAACCACTGGCTTGGCAGATATACGAATCGGTCAGCCAGAACCGCTGCCCCCCCCCCCCCAACTGAACATTTATAATTATGCATTATCTATTTTAAAATCAAGTATGCAACCATCGTAACATTCTACTAACCATAGAACTGACCACCTAGATTTGAACACATTACATAAATGTTCTACAATTACATAATATTAATCAAACAATGTTTATTATTTTGTCAAAATTTTATTGAAAAAATATTGACACAATTAATGCAATCTCGCAATCAAGAGATTAAACTTGTGAAGGTTCTTGCATAACTAGATTTATGGTGAATTCATCTATCTCTTTTTTAAATCTGGATAATATTTTATTATGAATACTGTTACGGTCTCTACTATTTTGATCACATGTTTATTTTCGGAAAAAAAATCAAAGGTTCAAGAAGATGTAATTTCACCTCAAAATAAAAATGACCCTTCCAGGGTAAGCGAGAGTATGATGCAAATACTCCTGTGTTTTATAAAATCCGCAGTTCTCTTTCAGTAACCACTGAAATAAGCACATATAACACACTATAAGCAGAAAATATCTGTGACAAAGTTTGTGAGATGTGGGAAATATGATTAGTTTTTAAAAAAAGTGGAGTGAGGTAGTTGGCTGTAACGGTAGCCGTTGATACGGCGGCTGATCACTGTAAAAGACCCGGGTTCGAATCTCAGCGGCCCTGAAATCAAACCCAAAAAATGGGCTCGTTTTCAAAAACACCGGCACCCCTGGGGCCCATACAGTCTCGTAAATCAAAGTTATTATGTTTATTATTATTTCACTTGCAAATTTGATTAGAGTATAATAGTTAATTGTGAAATCGTGCTTCATCGTTACTGGAATCAAAGAAAACATGTGTCAGAAAATTTCTAGCTAACTTAGATCTTTTCAAAATCATCAAATTATTACATTCTCATCAAAATATTGGTAAATGTAAAAACTATTAGGCATCTGCAAAAGGCCACATTAACGTAATGTAAGTGATTGAAATTAGGAAGAGACTAAAATTTCTACTCTGGCATAAAACGTGATCTACATTAAGATTATGTGCAAACATCATTGAATAATTTTGAAATAGGACTTATTACTGGTGTACGGGCAGCATGTTCGGTGGAATTCCAGTGAGAAAAGTGTTGGACGTTACCTATATAGTTATTATCACCGCCTATCACATGGTAGATGAACACTTAATAAAAAAGCAGTGCTCTGGAGGGGTAATCGCTAAGAAACAAATTTTATCCTCGTCATACTGTTTTACAAAAGACGAGTTAATAAATCCGCGAGTAATGGACGTGTATGCATACAATCCAGTTCTTGCAAAAGGCAGCGAAGTATTATACGCACTGATACATCCTAAATACACCACCAGAGAAAAAGGCTTCGACATAGCTGTAGTGGCGGTTAACGAAGAGTTCGATCACGTCTTTAACAATTTGGGTGGAGGCGTCGACAAAATGTCTCACTGTTACATATATACGTTTAAACAAAATGTAAATGGATTGGTGGGACAGACGCTTGTAAAATCCAAGGTAGATGTGAGAACAGGCAAACCCGCCTGCAAAGGGATGGAGGTCGTACTTTGTGCCCATAGCACTGAGAACAACTCGCCGTGTGAGGGTGATCAAGGTGCACCGCTTTTCTGCGATCTCAGATTGAAAGGCATACTTTCAAGGGGTATAGCCTTCGATTCCTGCAGACCAAAAATGGGCACTATGATGTTTGAAGACCTGTCTGTCCACAGGGACTTCATACGGAACTTGACTGGAATCGAAGTTGCTATAGAAGAAAATCATCAGCCTCCATCTAATTTGGCCAAAAGTCTACTGCAATACACCGGTTTGTTTTATTTATTCTTCCTCATGATATAAAAATGCCAGGAAAACACGTTTTTAACGGAAAAAATAAATTTGAAGTAGTGCTTTGTATTCGTTGATACTATCAAAATAAATCAATAAAAACTTATTTATTATTTTTTTATCATAGGCCTACAATCCCAAAGTAGATTATGTATCAAAATTAAAACGGAAAAATTTATAATAAATACAAAATATACAATATAATGCAACAAATATTTTTTCACATCATTGCCATAAAAATTTTATATTGTACTATTGTATAATAAGTATATCGAGGAGTTAAAAACAACCGTAACTTTAAATAAAGCAGAAGAAATGATGAATGGTGGAGTGAGTGTGATATTCAATCCTTTCTAAAAAGATAGTTCCTACTCACAGTAAGCTGTTTTGCAACGATCCGGATTTCGAGCCCTCTAGCTCATCATCAGGTTGAAGGACTAATACAACCTCTCTCGAATGAATTGCAAAAGTGAACCCGCTGATAATTAATTTCTTAAGTATTTACTTTTTTATATTTATTTGTGTTATAATTCCCGCTTTTCGCACGTTAAAATTGAGCGCCATTAAAAAACAGTTGCTCATTGGAAAGTCGCGTTGGCGGGGGTATCAGCGGGTTCTCTTTTGCAATTCATGTCAAGAGACGTGGTTGTAGAAGTCCTTCAACCTGATGATGAGCTAAAGGGCTCGAAATCCGGATCGTTGCTAAACATCTTCCTGTGAGTAAGAACTATTTTTTAAAAATGAATTAAATAAAACGTGTGAAAGACTGATTCAACTGAAAATTGTATTATTACCTAATGGAAAACCAGCTTTGGAAGGGAACATGCGTGGCCTATCTACGGAAAAATTCAAAACCATCTCTCGACAAGTGCTTTAATCTTTCTAAACAATTGTATTACCCGAGCTGCTATCCACAGCTGACATTTTTACTAAAATCCAAAATAGTGCACAACCTGATAAAGCATATTCCTTTGAAAAAATAAAAGAATTGACGTAATTTCTGCTGTTCATAAAGCGCTTATCAAAGAAAAGCCTTAGTGCAATTAATTCAAATCTTTAATTCCCTATGACGCCTTGTACAGTTATTACATTTTTTCTTTCTTCTCGAAAAAAAAATTAATAAAACTTAAATAGTGGCGGGACGAACTGAGACGAGAAGCGCGAGAAGCAGGAAGCAATTAGCGGCCTGCAAGATCCCGACCCGGAGGGCACTGGGTTCGAGGCTAGTGGGCTCCGGGTTCGAGATTGGAAAAAAAAAGCAAGGAGAGTCAGTTCAAGATAGAAGTTCCGAGTAATTGTGGCATTACGGGCGATATAGAGAAAGCAACCCATTGATAGCCTCTCTGGATTATTTCAGCTTACGTGGTCGTTTTGTGGAATGGAGTTATCGTATTTGTATGTTAGTGTGTACTTAATCTCAAAATTTTGGATTGAAAACTTTGTAATCTTTGAATATTGGACTATTTAGCCGATCCAAACTCGGCACCCGTACATCCAAATAGGTTTGAGTAAGTATGTGTATGTCGTTTTGATTTTAATGGTAATTTTGATTGTCGGTTGAGTAGATAATAATTCATTTTAAATCGTTTGTTGAGTGTCCGTTTTTTAATTGTGCGCGTGTGTGTGTGTGTGTGTGTGTGTGTGTGTGTGTGTGTGTGTGTGTGTGTGTGTGTGTGTGTGTGTCTCTTGTGGTTCTAGTCGTGCTGATATACGGGTGCGGAGAGTTGCTACGAAGGGAAGGGGTGATTCCGGCAAGTGAAGAGTGATCCCGAGAGTTGTTCATTTCCAATTTCTTTATCAGGCCTGATAATTCCGGACTAGAGACATTAGTTGTAAGTTTCGGCCTTTTGTTAGTTTTTAATTTAAAAAGAATTTGTCAATGTAATTGTAAATAGAATAGTTGTTATTAGTATTCATTTTTTTAAAATCATAGTTTAAACCCTAAGTAAGCTAAATACCCTAAGATATCTATCTTGTGTTAACGAATTAACTTCGATAGAAGAAGGAAGAACTTCATTATTTAGCTTCCATCATAACTCTGGGGGGAAGCGCCATCAGAAAGAAGAGAAGCCAGAAGCGCTACATCGGTCGTCTGGGTTCTAACACGGGAACCGTATCTGTCCTTCCTTTTCTCTTTCTTTTTTTCCATTGTTCTACTCTTATTTTCCTTTTTTCCTGGTTTCGGTATTTATCCTTCTCCAAAAATACCGTGGCGCTCAACATAACACCTGTAAATAAACTTTCACCCCCTCACCGATCATCACTTGTCTCTCCCTTCAACACGTCCCCCCCCCCTTCCCACTGAGCTACCGCCAACGTACGTGCAGCCACAGTAAGGAAGCTGTAACACACTACCCGTTTGAAAAAAGCAAAAATAATGGTGGTACATTAAAAGTGCAAAGCCATTGAGGTTATCATCTCTTCTCTCAGTATTGTCAAAAATGTTCGAAAAACTATTGGATTCCTACATCCTCAAACAAATCAAACATCGCAGCTATATCGTTGACAACATACTACGGACATGCGAACACCAATCGATTAACATTGGAGTATTCCTCGAGGTAGAAAAAGCTTTCGATCTAGTGTGGCACAACGGTTTGCAAGCCAAATTAACTCGACGTGTTTTCTGCAAACCCCTAGGAAATGATTTCCATTAATACAGATTTGTACAGAGCCTAGAATAAGAGAAAATCTGAAGTGCCAATTTTAGGCGAATATGACATTATCGTTAGCCCCGCAAGCCCTACCATCAAAGATCCCGCCATACAAACTGCCTGCCACAAAGAGCCCACTATCCTTATGCACGTGCAGAATTGTCTCTAATTCATTCAATCATAAAAGTGAGTTGCAATATGATACTATTTGCTCGGAATTAGATAAACAGTATTGTTAACGAATATATCCTCAGTAATATCACTTTTTACTTCCTGAACACGTTTTGAAATTCATGTCAAGCCTAATTCAGAGTTTAGTACAGAAAAGATAATTGACCGCAGAAGTTTTGTCCCACAACGAGGAACAAAAAGTTGCTATTCCAAAAGCCTGTTTGAAACAAAATCTACTAGCAATATACTATAAAAACGAATGCATATTTGTCACAATAGGTAGAACATATGTTATAAAATGACTACACATTTGCCTATAAGTTTATTTACTCTATGACCCCATTCGAATAAAACTTTCGAGAAAATAAAATTATTGACGTAGTCTGTGTGAAATTTGGAGAATCTTAGGGAAGGATTCGCTTGATGAAATCAACCTTTGTAACTTGCCGAAACCAATTCTCATGTTTAAATAGATCTATGAAATCCATCGAGTTGCTATTTGCACAGCGGCCGGTGATGTTGTTGTACGAAGGAATCGGTTGTATGCCGTGGAGGTATCCGAAACATACAATCGGAGCGCCTCCATCAGCCTTGCAGTCGCCATTCCTGGAAATGTTCTTCGCGCAGATTGTGTAGTTTTCATTTGTGGTGCAGATGGGAGAGCCGAAGTGTAAAGACATGAACTTATGCCGTACCATGTACCAGCCGGTTTGGTACGAAAGGAACACGCAACTCTGCTCTTTTAGGGAAACATACCCTCCCAATTTGTCGTAAAACTGATTGAACCCGTCTTTCGGCTCTACCAGACCTACGTCGTGGCCCTTTTTGCCCCGCGAGAATAGTGGCTGCGTTATCAACCGCTTTATTGGACGAATTTTCAGGTGATAGTACATGATGATGTCCTCCGGTTTTGACATTTCGCCCTTTAAATTTATAAAACACTGGGCTGATGTTAGCAGCATATTACGCGAAATTGCAATTCCAGAGCAGTAATGGTCAACAGATTTGTTTTCGGGGTGTGTGTACATGACAACAAGCAATGCCATGTACCTAGCATATCTTATATTTTCCAGAGTATTAGGCAACATATTTCTAAGACTAATCAGCCAAACTAATATTTTGTAACTATTTAAAATCAAAATACTATGATTTAAATAATTACACGTGTTTTCTTTTTAAAAAAGGTATGTGTAAAATATATACAGAGTGATACGTTTTTCGAAGCACCATAGAAAATCCAACGCATCACCCCAATGTAGAGTAATTTTCGAATTAAAACTAATTTCTTGGTAAACATTGAGATAGATTTCCATTTTGAAATATGTTAAGAATTTGAATTCCGCCAAACAATCAGGGTGTATTTAAGCAAATACAGCTTTATATTCCACTGATAAAATATAAAAATGTATATGATATTTACTTAAATTCAAATGAAACTAAAGCTCTTGTAAAGTGCGGAAATGATTGCTGATTTATATAAGCTCAAATCTGCACATGCATACCAACCCACGAGCACAGAGAGAGTGTACAATTTACATTAAATTACCGGCAGACCTCGAAAATACCCACTTCAAGTTTTGGCAGTCTATGTCAGACCTCATTCTTCCAGCCACGAGGTTAGGCTATCAACAGCTGGGCAATCAGTTTATAGATCCAACTCCACTGACTCGTAAATACATTCTTTCCCATTTAAATATAATTCACTCAGGTGGAGTACTACCATTACCCACTCATATTACACAACTAATCTAATTGAGGGTCGATGGGATACCCAATATTCTGCCATCCTACATATTTACCCTTATAAAAACATTCATTCTTAATGTACACAAAGAAAAACGAGGTAAAAAGTACAACAGTCCGGTTTTCTCTAAAAATCAGACCAGGTGACCCAAATACTCGCTGCCTCATATCGGGTTGTCTTCCTACACGCACTCTATATGGCGCCAAGGAGTGGCAATATTCAATTAAATGGGACAAACCAAGCACCTTTTTACTTATACGAGGGCATTGTCCCAAAAACTTTGTGCTATCTCGCATGTCCTATAAATAAATAATAAATCGGTTGAGGTGAATGACCTTTCTTCTACGAGTAACGTCTTCCGAATGGCTGACAGCATGTTACACATTAGTCCAAGTACGGCCCGACTTTCAAACATCGGATAATTACGTCAATTCAACACGACAATCGCTGAAATAACTCACAACACGTTATATACAAACTCAAATTTAGGCCAAATTATACCGAAATGATTTTCAAACAATGAACCTGAATTTTTAA